TACATACACACACACACACACACACACACACATTTGTAAAGCAATATAATTTATAAATTTATAAAAAATTAATTCTTTCTTTAATTTATTTTTTATTTATTTCATTTACTTATTTAAATATATTGAGTTGCTTTATATTTTTTTTAAATTAGAAAAGTTTATGTACATAAAATATTATATTTACCATGTCTATTTTTCGTAAACTAATATCTTATTCAAAAAAGCTAATAATAGACTAGAATGAACAGTGATACTTATGGCAAGTATTTAGTTCGTTCTTATTTCAAATTATTTTAAATAAGGCTCCTGAGTAGTCAGCATGCGACTACTCAAAATCAGTCGGCGACCTGGCGAAATCAGTAACTACACACACAAGCACGAGCTCATGGCATGCTCTTGGTGCGCCGAAAGCCAATACATGTACACAAACTCGTGCTTGTGTGTGTGTATTACAGCGCCTCGCCACGATAAATAGCTGAACTTAGGCGTGGAAAAGTAACGTTTTGACGACGAAATTTTTGCTGCATGCCATTTCGTTATTTTGCCATTTCATTATTTGCTTAATTATGAAAATGTAACGTATCTCGTACTTATGAAAATCCTAAAAACGGGCAGAAACTATAATTATCCTGGAAATTTGATACATAAAAGCATATATTTCATTCATTTTAACAGCTATTCAAATCCCGAAATTAGGCTCACTTTACCTGCCTTTACGACCATTTGGAGACTGACTATTAAGAGAGAAAAAGACAATTTCTGCCCATTTTTACAGGTATTTTAAAGCAATCTCGTCATTTAGATTTATCCAAATTGTCTTTATTTACAAATGGCTTGCAGCATAAATTAACGTATCATTCCTCGCTTCTGACATCATAATTCCAACATGGCCGCCGCAACTACTCAGGAGTCTTAATATGCTAATACAATTCTATGATTGTGATTTATGACATCTTAAGACCACTTAAAATGGCATTAAATATAAGAACCAACTGTGAATACCGCCCTGTTATTTTTACTAAATCATTTAAATGGCATACATACAAAAATAATATATGTTATTAATACACAGTTTAATTAATTGAACTACTCAAATGGTAGAATAAATGAAATAATAAAGAAAATTTCTCACTCAGTAGGTATTACAGTTCAGAAATTTCATATAATGCATACATTTTAAATAAAATTTAAATTATCGCTTTAATTATCGTTTTCTTATCAATTTAAAATATACATTTTCTTATCAATTTAGAACATATAACTTTGATGAACACTAACACTTTGATCAATCAATTATTTTGCAATAATTCATATAAGATATACGATATATTTTTTTTAAATACTCATCAGTATAAGCACAAAAATATATACAGATTAATGTCATAGCACATAGGTTGAAAAAAATTTAGCATCATCTTTTTTAAATAAATAAAATCAACTACAAACATTTTGCATTGTATATATTATGTAAAATCTTGAGTTCAATAATATCTTTTATCTTTCAGCAGATATTAAAAATACTTTTTTTTGTACTATTTCTTGTTTTAAAATTAAGTAAATTACAATTATCAAAATTACAATTATCAAAAAGTTAGATGGCCAACATTTCTTATGTATACATTTATAAGAAATAATACAAACTTCAAAAAATATCTTTTTCTGTCATATAAATTACGCAATAATAGTTATTAAGTAGTATTCCCTATATAAATGCTGCTGTTGCACATATACTTAATGTTGTCAATAATTAAAATATTTACAATAAAATATAGTATACAAGCTCATTTATAGATAAACGAGAAGCGTATATAAGCATTTACGCACGTAGAATTGTCTATAACATTCAATATTTAACATTTAAACTTGTTATCTTATAATTTTTTATCATCACTATATGACACTATAATGCAGACGATATGTTGATCATGCTTTAAAAAAATAGGACAGTGAGAATATACTGTCCTATTTTTTTGCAAAGCTATATTTATAATAGAGATATTTACAACAAAGAGAGATCTAAAATTTGACATGAATTATTAATTTTGAAAATATCTCCCAGTCCAAAGTAATATTTACAATTTATAAACACAATATTATGAAATATTAAAAATTATCCAGTTTTATATATTATATAAGACAGCACGTGTGAAATAACTTGTAAACGTAGTCCTCAATTATGATACTATACATCATAGTGATCATACAAGCAATAAGACTTCTCATATATATATATATATATATATATGAAATATCAACGTAAATGCAAAAGCTAAATATCGTTCAATCACATCGTGCAACATCAAATATTACAACAACATAGAATTGTCAACAAAGAAAAAAGCTCATCTGTCTCTAAAGAGATAGCATGTGTATTATTATGATTATGCAAGAAGACAGGCAATATTAAAGCTAGGAAATTCGAATTGCTTCATATAAAGAGGCAATTATTAATATCTTCAAATGCCTTCATGCATGTATTTTGTATGGATTCGTTTACGTATCTGTATAAATCTATTATTATTAGGTGTCAAAAATAATTTTAAAAATAAACAATTGTCAAGATCAATTGTATGTCAAAAAGATTTGCTTCAATATTATGTTTTTCACATGTATTTATATAAAAAAGAAATAATAAATCTATGTTGCAAAAAGAACCGAGAAAATCAAGATAAAAGCAATTTGATTATAATTTCACCTAGTTTAAATAGATTTTATACATGCTTGACTTTTGCAATTTCATGATTGTTTAATCAAAACATGACTGGCAAGAAAGAAGTAGATCGTTTTAACATATTAAATTAATTATGCAAATATAACTTTCATTTGTACTTTCTATTTGTGGATATAATTTTTGCTAAATATATGGCTCCTTAAGTATGCATTAAATGTAAACAACTAGTAGAAAGATAAAACGATCTAAAAATATTTCTTTTATAGCCAAAAAAAATTGACTGTAAAAAGAAACAGTATGTGTACAACCTTTGTGTGCTATTAATAAATTAAGACATGTTACAATTCAAGGGGTACATCCCCGTAACTAACCTCCTGTAATAGGTCCTGTGCAGCAATGGCTTTCAATACATTTTTTTTGCTAGTTTCTTGAATTTCTCCACCAACAAGCAATTCGTCTAAGATAAAATATGCCTTTTCAAAATTGAAAATTATATCCAACTCGCATACCTAATAATAGATTATAAATAATAAATTATAATATATAATATTATATACAACAAATTACAAGCCTTAAGAAATGTACTTTAAATATGATTTCAATAATATAATACTCACACTACCAAAATACTTATCCAATAATTCAACGTATCGATGTATAATCTCTAATGTCAGTAATTCATTGTCATTCTGCTCAATTGCGCAGCAAAAGTATAAACTTGCGTATCTGTAAATATAAATCAGAAACTTTTTTACAATAAAAAAACCTTCTACAAATCATAAAATATCACAAATTAAGGATAACTTTGATGAAATTTTGATGAATTAATGATTAATTTGGCAATAATAAAAATTAAAACAAAATTTCTAATCTTTTTATTGATTCTAATGAATTCCTAATCTATTTTTTTTTCTATGCTAAGTAACAAATTAATAATTCTATTTATGTTAATTATTAATTATTCAGATAATTATTATTTTATTCAAGCAAATGAAATTGCTGCACAAGTAAAATTTCCAGCATAATTCTTTATCTCTAATCTAATATTCATTTCCATATATTAGACAACAAAGATTTATTATAATTCTATTTATGTTAATAAAAGTATTATAACTCTACAAATTAATCAAAATTTGTTTTTTTTTTTGGTCGAAATCATTTTAAAGCTCGGTTTCACCAATGTTAAGATTAACTTTAATTCAATGTAACTTACTTTATCTAGTTCTAATTTTTTTATTTAAAAAAAGATAAGAGTAAATTGAACCAAATTAATATTATATTGATGGAACTTATGTTCATTTCTATTAAAAGCAGATTAACTTTAATCTTGGTTTAACTTTTTTTTATCTTCTTCTAGTTCTAAGAATTATGTTGATTCTAAGGAGTCAATAGTCCTAAATCTTATCAATAAATCAATAAAATTAGTCATTGGACAACTTCACTAATCCACTGATAAGACTCAGGATACATTCGGAGTTATGTATGATGCACTATTTATTCTTATTATTCAACAAATAATAAAGAAAGATAAAATGATACATGTCCTTCATGCCTAACTCGGAACGCACCTATAGAACTACCAATCCATTGTAGAAACTTTAAAAAAAAAATGAAGAAATTAACTCAAGATTAAATTAATCACATTGTAAAAATATTCTTTAGCTTAGTATACATAAATTGATGTTTGTTCACATTGATGAACCATATACCTTTTGTAAACAACCTTAACATCCTTCCATTCTAAGAAACTCGACATTTTCGGTTTTCGTGCGAGTATCGTGGTAATCAGTTCACGCGTGATTTTCTTTTTCAACTTATCTGGATGCGCGACATACCACTTTTGTAGACGAAGCTTCCCTTGTCGACTGAACAATAACATAAATTGCATCTGCAAAAAAAAGACGGTAATAATGAAGGATTTACTTTCGAGTCACTTATTACTAATTTGAGCGTAAAGATTCACCATATTGTCGCAATCCTGCTATCTCGCGTCTCGCACAATTCTTTATCTCTCACAACTAGCACAACGCGTAATAGACAACGACCGACAACACCCGCATAAAACGTGCACATATAGTAGTATAGAGGTGCATTCACATGCAAGCGTCAAGTCAAGCGCATAGTACATATAATAACGTTTTTCATTTGACCACAATTCTAGTGACTTTATACTTTAGGCTACTCGAGCGCCATCATTCGGCTACTTCTGACAGTCCTGATGAAAAAAATCTGGCAACTCTGCCAAAATAAATATTCTGTTGAATATAGCGTTTACATACACGTTTGAACAGTTTGAATTTGGATGATGGAGTAGATGGGGTTAGGAGAAATCGCGTATAGTTTTCTGTCAATATTTTTTAGTCCTTTCAGTCATAATCCAGATGATTTGGTACAATTTTGTGTGATATTTGTTAGCAATTTTAGCAGGATGACAGAAAACGAGAGAAGAGCAATATGTTTGAAATACATAAATACTCTCAAGTGTAAGTTGTAAACGTCGATGACTGGGTGTTATTCTATATTCCGCTTACTGAAGTTTTGTTCGTGTTGCTCTTAATCGCATCTAACATGTTCCTGTCATGATTCTTACTTAATTCAACATGCTTATTGAAATGAGTAGGAGCATATTGGAGCATGCGGCGCGAAACAACTTCAATAGTTGCCGGTATCGTTGTGTGACTTGCGCGCCAAATTTGTGACCGTAGAATGACGGCACAACTTCGCATTTTCTACTGAATTTTTCGAATAAATGAACCATCTTCCCCGCAAACGAGAATGGATTGAAATGAATTGAAATGGATTCAGATTTTCAGAAATATTGAATATTAAAATGAATATTAAAATGAATATTAAAATGAATGCTTTTCAATTCTAAATGCATTTTTATTCATTTATAGGAATTGCATGGAGCATATCTCTATGCCTTTCAATCTAAAAATAATATTAGCTTTTTCTGTGCACACAATTGTGAATACTGTTCAATTCAAAATTTTGAATAGGAAATGCAGTTTTTCAATCCAATTGCATCCAATTGAATCCAATTAAATTCAAAAAAGTATTCGCTATTTAAAATACGCATTTGGATAGAAAAAAATTTTAATCCATTTTAATCCATTCTCGTTTGCTGGTTATCTCAAGTATCGTTAAGTAAGTTGCTCTTTAGCAAATCGTCGTCGATTCTCAATACGAGATATTTTGTACAGTAAAGAAGTTGCACAACATCGACAATTATCAGTAGCATACACCGAATAATTACTTCTATCTACTTATGTTGCATATACTATAAAGCCTGTTCTACAATGTGCTTTTTTTCCTGTTTTTTTGCCTTTTGTTATTTTTTACATCTTGTCTTTTTGCTTTTTATTCGGTTTTTTTGTTTTATATTGCCCGAGATAAAAGTTAAAAAATTTCGAAAGAAACAAGAAATATGTAGCAAAAAATACAATTGTTGATAAAACGATTGCAAAGGAGAAAAAAGCAAAAAATATTTAATAAATTTAAAAAATTTTAATAATAGTGACCCATGAACATCTAAAATCAACTGCAAAAAACAAAATGAATAATTTAACATAATGATTTTATACAACAAAATTTTGTAACGGCCAGTTTACTATTTCTGATGATGATTCGGAATATTACTGGACATTACTTAAAAAAAATTGTGTATTAGAATAATTGAAGTTATGCATTATTAGGCATTATAGAGTATCGTTAGGGCATTAATGGGTTTAAAAAATTAAATATTACTTGAGGATTAGTAAACATTGGTATACATAATTTTGATTAGCAGTTTACCTTTTGATTGGAACTGACCAATAACGTTATCATTAAATAGAAATTATAAATCACAATTGACTTATTCAACTGATCAAGCTGATCGGACATGAGGAAATCAGCTTTTAATGGATCTAACAAACTTTTACAGAAATATTTATGTATTATTATTTAATTAGTATATTTAATGTCTATATTTTCTAATATAGTGTATATGTATACAAAGTTTAAAATTTAATTAATAGTTATATTTAAATTAATAGTTAATGGTCAGAAAGTTAATGGTCAAATAGTTAATGATTGAAATTACTCCTTTTATTTCTTTTAGCAAAAGGCACAAATTTTATAGAGTTTGATATATGTCTTACTACATTACAAGATGAAGCTGCCTCAAGAGGATTAGATGACGATATTCTCAAGCAGCTCTTAAATGTTATTATACATAAAGATTTAGGTATCTTATTAATAAATATTAACATAAGTCTTTCTATATTATAAATATTAACATAAATTTGAAAGTCTATAATCTATATGTATTGTATGTGTTCGAATAAACTAAATTTTAAATTTATATTTAGGTGCAATCAAACGGGTGTCATTGATAAAATGTCTGATTCCAAAGTATAAACTATCTGAGGAAATAGTGAAAACTATGATCACTTGGTGTCTTTCTTCATTAAATGATTTGCCATTTACTGTTGGTGTAATTATTATACAATGGATCATAGGTAATTTAATTCTTAATCTAAGATCTGTTTGCATTTACTGTAAAAATATTTAATGTACATTATTTATTATAACCTAAAATATATATATA